TATGTTGCGACTAACTCATCTGTGTAACACATCCTGTAAATATCGTAGCAAATTGAAATATTCATCGTACTTTTTATAGAAAAACATCCAGACAACAACCAACAATAATCAACACCATATATGACAGAAAAAGAAAACAGAAGCATTGGTCTATTAATAGAGTACACATTCCTTGAATATATAGTAGATGATTCAACTCAAGGAAATAGTTTATTAAGCACACCGTAGAAGAAATGAAGAGACAAAGTACATCTTCATGTGAACTGCAACATGGAGAATATGAACCTGTTTACATGGACACAGAAATCTATCAAAATTGAGTATGATACAGATAACGTAACAAGCATTACGCTGCAATAGAAATAGCAATAATTTTACACCAGAGGAAATAACGTAACAGAGGAAATAACAATAATTGAGTATGATACAAATAACATAACAAGCATCTCCTACAACCACTGTTGTTTCCCTAAATTGAAGGGTAAGACTATCCATTACGATCACACCAGATCACAACCCTACAAGCAAGAAAAGCAATAAAAAAGCAGACAGATAAACTACGGAGATGCATCTTCGATTTCTGAGAGTCCAAACGTTGAAAAATTACGGAGACACATCATCGAAATTTTCTACAACTTTCATCTACGTCAATGGTGGTAATGCATACCTCCAAATCCCTAAAAATAATGTATTGGTCATTACTTTTAACTATTTAACACGTTTCTCATTATGTATAAATTATCAATCATGCAAAAACTATCTATTTCATCACCTAATCATTACTTTCTACAAATTCTTGCAAAAATTCAAAAAAAATTACAAAAAAAAAACTTACAAATTGAGAGTTTATTTCAGTGTTGAATGATCAGTTTGATTTATTTGATGATGATGGAACACTTTGATATAACACACACACACACACACACACACACACACACACACACATATACACACACACACACACACACACACACATATATATATACACACATATATACACATATATATGTGTATATACACACACACACACAGATATATATATATATATATATATATATATATATATATATATATATATATATATATATATATATATATATATATATATATATATATATATATATATATATATATATATATATATATATATATATATATATATATATATATATATAGATAGATAGATAGAGAGATTGAGATATATATATATATATATATATATATATATATATATATATATATATATATATATATATAGAGAGAGAGAGAGAGAGAGAGAGAGAGATTTGTTTAGGCAGTTCCCCAATCGACTTTGTTATGGGTACGTCTACCCTCAATTCGAAATCGAGTTTATTAAACTTATTTTGTAAACAATGTATATACAAGATATGAAGAGTTATAACCCAACAAACCCTATGGTTTGTTGTTGATTCTACCACCCTAAACCCCTTTGATAAAAGTTTGATCAAGTGACCAACAATGCTGCTTCATTCCACCAGTTCTTGTTACTATTTTGCAAAACCTCTCCTCCCAAGGTTTTCGCTCAGTCAGATTAATCTCAAGCACGCACTTGTTAAACCCAAGATTTACGAACACGATCCACCGTCTTACGCTACTCCATTGCAAGGAAACCACCTTGTCCCAATGCCTTCACTCGATCGGATCCGTATTTGCGTAATCTTGTCCAAAACCTTCAAATCCTCAATGATCTTAAAGGAAAACCCCAACTTGGTTTTTCTTATTTGAAACACTTAATGAACTCAACTCAATATTCTCGGTACACCAACCTAATTGGAAGTTGTCAACCCTAATATAGATGGTCACCAAATTAAAAAATGATTATGTGTAGTTTGATTGTGTGTATGCATAGAAGAGAGGTTGAAGATGATGAGTATCTTTGAAATTCTGGTTTCGTATAGGTTTTACACTAGAACCTTGCTAGAAAATGATGCATGTATGAGAATATATATGTATGAGAGATATGAGGCAAAAGGAATGCAAATGGATGGAGGAAAAATGAAAATTCTGAAAAAGAGCATCGTGTGTGTCAACCTATAAAAGCAACAGGTCGACCTACTAAGGCAATTAGGTAGACCTATGAAGGTCTTAGGTCGGCATGTAGAGGTCTTGTGTCGGTCTAAGTTGGTCAGCCTATGGACAATGGCTACAACCTTTATTATTGACGCATGAAGGTCAATCTGAGCAGTTTGTGTGTCGACCTATACTAAAGCCAAAACTTCTATAGGTCGACCTATAAGTGTGTGTGTCAGGGTATCCTGTAGTGTCAGCTTAAAAACTTGTTTTTCAATGCATTTTAAAAAAAGTCTTGTTTTCAATGCATGTATGATGAGTGATCATTTTCCAAACCATTTTAATGCTTCTAAGGCTAAGATGCATATTTAAAATCAGAGAATACCGTCCAATATACATTAACGCTACACTGTCCTAGTTTTGACATTATTCAAAATACTTATCCTACGGAAAGTAAGACTCACATTAATATCCTATTTAAGCCATGACATGTGGTGCTAATGGGATCAGCCTAAAAATACTTAGGTAGATTACCCTCATTGAGCATAATTCTAGCCAATTCCTCTAAAACACGATTTTTACGCTCCACAACACCATTTTGTTGTGGAGTTCTTAGAGAGGAAAAATTATGCTCAATGTCATGTTTATCACAGTAATTCTCAAAAATGTGGTTTTCAAATTCACCTATGTGATTGCTTCGGATATCAACAAATTTTAAATTTATCTTGTTTTAGGATAACCTTGCAAATCGAGTGAAAGCATTGAAGGTCTCATCTTTACTATGCAATAACATGACCCAACAAAATCTTGAGTAATCATCTACAATCATAAAACCATAGTAGTTATCACCTATGCTTTTGGTCCATGAAGGACCAAAGAGGTCCATATGAATAAGTTAGGTCTTGAAGTTGAAACAGTGTTTTTCGATTTAAATAAGACTCTTGTTTGCTTACCCATTAGGCATACATCACATAAATGGTCTTTGGAAAACTTTATTTTTGGTAGCCCAATTACTAAATCTTTTGAAATCACCTTGTTTAGTAAATCAAAATTAATATGAGCTAGACATCTATGCCATAACCAAGAGTCTTCACTCATGGTGACAAGACACTTAGTTCCCTCTATGGATACATCATCTATATTAAGCAAATTGAAATATCCATTGTACTTTTTATAGAAAAACATCCAGACAACAACCAACAATAATCAAGACCATATATGACAGAAAAAGAAAACAGAAGCATTGGTCTATTAATAGAGTACACATTCCTTGAATATATAGTAGATGATTCAACTCAAGGAAATAGTTTATTAAGCACACCGTAGAAGAAATGAAGAGACAAAGTACATCTTCATGTGAACTGCAACATGGACACAGAAATCTATCAAAATTGAGTATGATACAAATAACGTAACAAGCTTTACACTGCAAGAGGAAATAGCAATAATTTTACACCAGAGGAAATAACGTAACAGAGGAAATAGCAATAATTGAGTATGAGACAAATAACGTAACAAGCATCTCCTACAACCACTGTTGTTTCCCTAAATTGAAGGGTAAGACTATCCATTCTGATCATACCAGATCACAACCTTACAAGCAAGAAAAACAATAAAAAAGCAGATAGATAAATTACGGAGATGCATCTCCGGTTTCTGAGAGCCCAAACGTTGAAAAATTACGGAGATGCATCTCCGAAATTTTCTACAACTTTCATCTACGTCAATGGTGGTAATGCATACCTCCAAATCCCTAAAAATAATGCATTGGTCATTACTTTTAACTATTTAACACGTTTCTCATTATGTATAAATTATCAATCATGCAAAAACTATCTATTTCATTACCTAATCATTACTTTCTACAAATTCTTACAGAAATTCAAAAAAAATTACAAAAAAAAACTTACAAATTGAGAGTTTATTTCAGTGTTAAATGATCACTTTGATTTATTTGATGTTGATGGAAGAAGTTTTGAACTTGGTTGATTGATTATGAGAGAATGTGAGTTGAGAGAATTTGAAAAAGGTTTAGAATTGTTGTTTAGAAGTGAGGAAGGAGAAGGGGTTATGGCGTGTTTTAGAACAAATAGCGTCCGAAAATACATCTCCGTAATATTTACGAAGATGTATCTACGTAGTTTTTTCACATTAAGTCAGACTTCTATTGAATTTAGGCGCGTCCAGAGATGCATTTTCGAAACCTAGAAGCATTTTTATATTTTCACATGGTGCCTTAGTAATATGTTGCCACTCATATATTATCTTTGATTTGTTTTTTCTAATAAATGATTATCCATTCAACAATCATCTGCAACAGGTAGATTTCATCAATGCAAGTAATTGCATACATCTTTCATAGAAAATTGAAACATCCATTGTACTTGTTTATAGAAAAAACATTCATACAACACCACACACAAATGACAGAAAAAGATAAAGAAAACAGAAGCAATTGTCATTAATAGAGTACACATTCTTGATTATATAGTAGATGATTCAATTCAAGGAAATGATTTATTAAGCACACCATAGAAGGAATGAAGAGACAAACTGCATCTTCATGTGAGCTACAACATGGAGAATATGAACCTGTTCACATGGACACAGTAAGTAATCTTAGGATCTTCCTAACTTGTGCACTTAGCCATAATTGTATCACATGATTTATGAGAGCTGATTGAAGTTAGAAAGTGTAAGAAATCAATACAGTATAATACAAGCATCATGCTTCAGAAATATTCATATTCAAAATCAACTTAAATATTATAATTTTTATATATAAAAAATGTTATAAGATTAATTTTCCTATGAAAGTTGTGCATGCATTGAAGCATATATTTACTTGAAATCAAGAAAGTAGCAAACATTCATGTAAAGGGAAGATGGAAGCATGAAATAAAAAACAAAATTGAAAACATGTACTTTGGTTAGAGTGGCAATGTTAGAGGAAAGAGTACCTTAATGTTTTAGATATTGAGTTGAGTAGGAATCGGGCGCAACTCATAATCATGATAACTTGATCCTACTTTCTGACGAATCAGTACAAGGGGAATATGATTGATAATCCATTGGTATGGTCCACCTTTGTCTAGATCAATGCTATCAACCAGTTCAGCTGGCATGTCAATCAATTCAAGGAGTTGAAGGTTTTTCAAGTTTTGGAGGTCTTGGGGTACCACCTTCAATTGAGGGTTGTTGTTAAATCTGAAGTCTTCAAGCCCAAGTAAAGCTTCTTTGTCTATAGACACAGATTTTAGTCTATTTAATCTAGTGAGATCCAACTCTATCAGCTTATAAAACCCTCCTTTTTGAAAATGCAATCTTTCACCAGAAAAGGCATCATCCCACAAATTCAGCCTCAACAAATTAGGCAAATTCTTTAACGACTCTAGTGGATCATCTTTGAAGTTAGATAAGCCAAGTCTTAGCTTCACAAGGTACTTGAGATTTGGAATCCATTTAGGCAACTTTGTTAATCTACTTTTCAAGTTGAGCACTTTAAGATTAGGTGGAGTTGATACAGAATCCAAGTCAATGATCTCTTCCTCAGTTATAGCAGTAATATTAAGAGATTCAAGGTGCTTCATCTCTTGTATTGTAGCACATAATACATTTCCATATTCTCGCCGGACACGTCTTATGCCTAACTTCCTTAATTGTTTCAACTTTTTGAGCTCTTGGATAAGGTCTATTCCACCATGATCGGCTTCCAGAAAGTAAAGTTTTTCTAAAGATATCAAACACCCAATACCCTCTTGCATTTGCACACCAGTTGTGAAGTTCAATATAGAATAAGGCCCTTCATATTTTCTATAATAAACTGGAAGAAGCGTTAGCTTTGTGAGCTTGCTTATCTCTTTTGGTAACTCACGCACGCGAGATTGCCTCAAATCCAAGGTTTCTAAGTTGACTAACTTACCAATAGATTTTGGAAGAGCGGTAACTTTTGTAAAACTCAAGTTCAAGTACCTTAGATGGAAAAGATTCCCCAAGTTATCAGGAATAGATTTCAACAAAGTATTCTGAAAATCAAGCACTTTCAAAAGTTTGAACTTCGCAGATAATCCATGTATGAAATGTTTAGAAAATTCACCTTTGTGGAAAACAAATATAGCACGAATTCCTGAGCTACTAGTGTTTCTCAAATCATTGTTGGAGATAGCTGCTATAGAAAAGCGTCTAGTTATTCCAACAGTGACTTGTTCATCGTCTTTATGGCACAAATGACAAAAACTTAAATCTTTTATTTTTCTAATGATCACTTCACGCAACAAATCATGAACTTGGCAACTTTTGACTCTCCCATTTAAGCCAACTTTGAAAACATTAACCAAACTTCTTTGTATCAACTCTGTCAGGTACTCTTCAGCAACTTCTTCCAAGGTTCTTCTATCCTCATGCCTAACAAACCCTTCAGCCATCCATTGCCTTGTAAGTCTCTTCCTATAGATTGCATAGTCCTCAGGATATATACCAAAATATAACATGCATGATTTCAAATGGTAAGGCAAGTCATCATAGCTAAGAGATAAAATTTTGACTAGACTAGTCAAATGCACATTGCGATCTAACTCCATTCTCAGATTTCGACTCACCTTTTCCCACTCAAAAATGGTTTTGGCTTTTGTTGATAAAAGACCGCCGATGGCCACAATTGCTAGCGGTAGCCCTCCACACTTTTGAACAATTTCTTCGGTCACATCCTCAAGTTCTGTTGGACACTGCCCTCTAAATGCCTTGTTGCAAAACAGTTCCCATGCTTTGTTTGGAGGCAAAGGTTGTAGCTTGTGAACATGAACAGGAAAAGATTTCTTAAAATATTCAGCTACATGCATCATTCTAGTGGTCACAATAATTCTACTTCCTTTGTTATTACTAATTAAGGCATGTTCAATCTCATCAGAAAAATTTTCTTTCCAAACATCATCGAAAAACACTAAGTACCTCTTTGACTCAAGGTATTGTCTCACATGAGTAATCAATGTTTCGTCATCCATCTTTAGCAGACCCTTCGGAATAGGCTCATTGTTGTCCTTGCAAAATTTCTTTACCATATCTGTCAACAACTCTCTGATAGTGTATGATTGAGAAACTGTGATGAAAGATCTACAATCAAAGTTTCTTTTCACTAGCTGGTTATCAAAAACATGCTTAGCGAGAGTGGTTTTCCCGAGTCCTCCCATGCCAACCACAGAAACCAACATGAGCTCATTGTTTCCCCCCACCAAGCAACTAACCAATTCATCTCTTGGGGACTCAAACCCTACAACTTGAGTCTCTTCAATGAAATAAGGAGCCATTCGAGGATCACCAATTCTAGGAGCTTTAGTCCCTCTAGAGCTACTTCCTGATCCACTTTCAGACAGAAACTCAAACCTTGTACTTCTTTCTTTGATTTTACCAAGTGATAACATGATGTCTTGAATCTCAGAAGCAATCTGGTGATGCGGATTCATGGTTTTGGTCAAACCAGGAATCATTTGGAGTGCAGATCTGAATATAGAATGGTTGACTCTTTGTGCTTCATACATGTTATACTCATCAATCACATCTTCTATGCGAAAAGACGCTTCTCTCACCTGCTTCACCCAAGTTTTGACTCCATTGGATCCTCCTCCACCGCCATCATCATCAGCCTTTGTGTCTGCGTCCTTGAGGAAGGCTTGGATGTTCTCAAGTTCATCTTTGATGTCAATGAAGTCTCTTTCAACCCCCGTCACCAAAGTTCTTTCTTCTTTTACAAATTGGCAGAGTTCTTCCAAAACAAATGACACTACAGTTTCTGCCATTTCATTTCATTGTTTTCATCAATCAGGATAGCCCTTGCAAGGAATTTTTTTTGGCAATCCAAGCAAGTTCATGTGAAGTGCCTTGTTTTGGTGCTTAGTTTATCAGTAAAGTAGCTTTGATTTGTGGAAAAACTTTGACTAATGAATAATTTATCTGTAACACAGCTTTCTACAAGACAATATTTTTCTATTGTTGTTCTTTTCAACTTTGTTGGTAGTTCTGATTTCTGAATGTTTAATGTTTAATGGCAGAACCCTATAATATTTTCTTAAAAACATGTGAATTTTAACAAATTTTTTATTCCCAAGTCATTAGTTTATGTGTTGTTTTGAAGTAAGGGTGTTGTATGCAATGTCTTATAGATTAATCAACAAAAATATTATCCTACAAGTTAATCAAAGGGAGTTAAAATATTGTCCTATAAATTAATTAACCTTTTGTATCATATATTATCAAAATAAGATGTGCATGAATTAAAACATACAATCCTCAAAATAAACAACACTTTACACCCTTTTATCTTTATGTTTCTTGTCACCTTTGTTATAGTAATGAGTTATTTGCCATCATTAAAACATATCATTTTAATAAGATCTTTTTCCAGTTTATGGGTGGTTGCTTGGTCTTTCTTTGGATTAATTGGAATAATGTGTGCTCAGATGGGAATATGACAAGTTAGAGGTTTGGAGGATGAGGGAAATTAATTTAACATTGTTAAGAAAGTGGTGGTGGAGATTACTTATCGTTCAGAGGGTTTGCAATTTAAGATGTTCATGGCTAGGTATGGTTCTCCGATCAAGTGTGAGGTTGGCGTTACAATGGTGGTGTGATTTGGAGGTGGCACAAGAGATTACTAGTCTGGGAAGAAGATCAGGTGAGAGTGTATTGCTATTTTGGCTAACAATTTTTAGCAGGACAACATTTTAGACCGGACTGAGCAGGTGGTTCTGATAGAGTTCAACAAAATTATTTGGAACAAATTTGCTTTATTGAAACTGTCTTTATTTGTAGCATGTACACCCTAGCGGCAGCCTTATAATTTCTAGTAGTTACAAGCTGATCGTATGTCTTCTGAAGCCAAGACACATGAAGGTGTGCGCCCATATTAATGCTAAATTCCTTCCTCACATTCGCCTCAAACACTCCCAAATCTCGTGCAGCAGTATGACATTCAAGGGACATGCTAAGAACGGGAGCCGTCCGGAACCCGCCGCCGATGGGGAGATAGAACAATTAGGAGACATCATTCAGAGTGATAGTCATCTCTCCAAACGGAAGACGACATGAAGATGTCTGCTTGTCCCACCTCTCAAAAAACGCACTAAGTAGTGGAGTGTCGAGCATGGTAGGAGAGAAGTGGACATAATCAAGCAGTTGAAACTCCCGTATAATCCGGCTGACCTGCTCAGGCATAAGAATCTTCAAGAAGTCCTTCATCTTCGACCTGTGCGGTGTCACCTTCGGTGTGGGACGCTCATGTGACAAACAAATATAAACAAATTAGCGGATAGTTTTCATTACACAATAATAAGCAAATTAAAGTTAACCATAAAAGACATATACCTCTCTCTCTCTCTCCCATAGTCGTAACGCCACATGGTCATCATACTCGGTAAGCATTGACCGGTCAATGGGTCCTCCAGGAAATCTTCCATCAATGTGCACAAAAGGTTCGGTCGAAGGAGCTGTAACCTTTATGTCTGTAGTAACAAATGGGACCGAATCAACAACAACAACAGCTGACTGGACCGCCCGAGCAACCTTCTCAACAATTGGATCAACAACCAGATCTGTAACCTCAACCACCAGATCAACAACAACAACATCTAGCATCACCTCATCTCTAGGCTGCTTTACTGATCGTACCGATTAGCGTTGAGTGCTACGAGGTGTCCAGAACTGACCCGGCTCAGCCAACTGCTTCCGGTGTGAACCAGGTTGGGCCACTTGTCCATCCCGTATTTTGGAACACTCATCACCCCTGACAACCTTAGCCTGATGCGCCGCTCGACCAACAGCTCTCCATACAATTGTGTCGTCTATGCCTATGTATTTCACTGCAAATGAAGGGAAAAAAAATATTAACTGCTGAAAATTTTAGAATCCGATAAAAAAACGAAATTTTTGTACATATCCAAAATTTCAAAAATTTCGATATAGAATCCCATGGAGGGATCGTCTAAATAAGAGGAGATATCTGTAAGGTGAGATTCAAAATTCCAAAAAAAAAATGTGAATGAATCTTAAATTATGAAGATTATTTTTTTTATAAATTTTATTTTTTAGTTTTGAATGGCTATATTTTAATTAGTGTTATAAAATATAAAGAATAATATTTAAAAAGTATATTTATTATCAAAGTCTATTTAACATATGATGGTTAACTTTTTTTATAAAAAGTTGTTAATTTATAAATAGAAATAATTTATTTACAATTATGCATAATTATAAACTAATACATAATTATAAATAAATATTTTTGTCACTCATTAAACCTTAGAATAATGGATTAAACTCATTTAACTCATTAAGATTTAACCTTTAGGTGACATTTCATCTCCCTAGCGTCGAATCAAGGAGGGAGATTCCTTAGCCACCAATTGTGCCTTAGGCGTTGCTTTTCCTCTCTCGGGGATAACGTTCGCTAAGTGTCATTCTTTGAGGAAATTGGTTATTGAGACATAATAAAGAAAACATAATGCTTTATATTTTAAAAATGTTCAATACTTACAAATACATGATGTTTTTTTTATGGCTAAATTCATTTCATTCTAGTAAAAAAGAGAATAAACTACATAGAAGTGGATAAGGTTTGGACCATTTTTAAAATTCTAAAACTGCTGAATCTCTTTAATGATTTGTTTCTTATGGATCTATGTGTTTGGAGATACAACTATCTGCAACTATTGAGATGATCCATATGTTTTTGTACATGAAAAGATGATGTCAACACTTTGGAATTGTTTATGACAAGATGACAAAAAATTTGTTCTTGAAGTCTTCATCCATAAAAAAGAAGCAATTATCAAAATGTTATATCAACAATAAGATGTTTTGTGAGATCAAGATGAATAAGACAACACCAAACGTCAAATGAAATCTGGTGAGTTCTCTAAGGATCACCTGTAAAGAAACCTATGATCATGGTGTATATTAAAGAAGCTATGCCAAGTTTAATCAAATTAGAAGATTCATGTTCTAGATGAATTTCTAAATCTCTAATGAACCAAGAAAAAGATATTGAAGCTTCAAGGTTTTGAAAGAGATGAAGTGTGAAATCTTGTATGGTCTGTGTTGAGTGATCAATGTCTTGTAAATGTATAGGAGTTGATTCTAAATTATTAAGGAAAATAAACACACACACACACACACACACACACACACACACACACACACACATTTTGAAGCCTCTTTGACTTTGTTAAAACACCAAAAAATGACTTATAAGCTTACCTGATATATTTGCGACATGATATAATCAATTAAAAGGTAGTTTACATGGTATAGTCGATTATCCCATTAGGGTTAATCGTTTAACAATGTTGTAATTCCTCCTCATCAATTATAGTTTCCTATAATCAATTGGTGACAACGCTGTTTTAAAATGTTCCCTTTTTAGTTTATCTAACCGATTAATCCTAGTTGTTAATTGATTAGAAGCATTAAAAAGTCCATGAATTGTTTTCCTTTTTGGATACATTTTTTCCTATAAATAAAGAGCTTCCTCTGATTTCAATTCACACCAGAAAACATATTTCAAATATACTTTATCTTTCTCAACTCTCTTTTTCAGTCTTTTTCTATCTTCACTACTTTTGCCTTAGTTCTTTGAAATTGTAATATACTTGTAAGATTTTCGTTCTAGTGTTAGAGTTATTCTTGTAATTTACTCAAGATGGCTTTGTTTCTTGTGTAATATATCTTGTGAAAATTTATTGTTTGGTTCGTGACCTAAACCATTGAAAAGCTCATGTTTGGTTTGTGAGATTAGCCAGTTAAAATATATGTTTGGTTCATGAGTTCAACCCGGTGTAAAATCTATCATTTGGTTTGTGACATTATTCGATAAAATATCAGCTTGGTTACTAAGATTATCTTGGTGTAAAAACTTTGTTTGGTTTTGAGATTATCCTAGTGTAAAATCTTGTGTTTGTGTTGGAGGATAGCTGTTGTAAAACTCTCGTTTGATTGTAAGGAGGTTTGTGGGCATAACCTTTGAAAAACTCACAGATTTTGTGGATACTCTCAAGAGGAAACTCTTGGGGACATTGATCGGCTATTTAGTATGCCTAAATGTTTCGCGACTGCAAGTGCACAGTCTGATCGTGTAATTTTAAAAGATTATCAAACTCAAAGGACCAAGAGACGATCTACCGCTATCTAATGCTACTATGTAAAGTTAAGGCTAATGAATATCTAATTTTTGGGATTGCGAAAAATAAAATAAGTGTGGAAATAAAATTCTAATTAAAATAAGATATTGCTAAATATCGGTATATAATCTTATCAATCATCAGGGGTTCGGTAATTCATGGACGTTTAGTTCTAAAAAGAAAGAATTGTTATTCTATAGAAAATACCCATTTAAAAGCCCTTATCTCACACTCTCGTTCTCTTGACTTAGACTATGCCCTCAAATCAAAATGCGGCTCTCGCTCTCTCATTTTGCAATTAAAAACACTTTTTGGAAATAGATAAATCCTAAATAAACTTAAAGCGCTCTCGTTGTATTTAAGCCTAATGTTCCATTTCAGCTATCCGATTAAAACCTCGAACTCTCGCTCTATTGATTTTAACCTTTGTTACTTTCTCACTCTCGTGACAAAAGTTATTAATTTTGGCAAAAGAAACAGAGACCAGAAACTTTTATTTCATTTAAATTCTACGGTTTACTTAACTCCCTCCGACCGATCGTAATTACATATCGATACTAAGGGTTTTAGCCAGACATGGCTTTCATATTTTTACTTATTTCAATCCTAATACTAACCAGAAAACA